ACTTCTCCAACTTTAGTGATTTCAGCTCTCAGTGATTTTCAGCTCTGGTCAGAAACACAGTGTGATGGGTTGGATCACAGAAACCCCCTTGGGAACTGCCAAGTGATGTGCCAAAACTACTTCTGCCCCTGCTTTCCCTGCCAGCTCGGGACCCAAGCACCATGTCTTGCTGAGCCAGACACGCCCGTCTACTCCAACACAGACCCAGGGTCTGAATTACTTGCCCAAAAGCTGCAGACTTAACTGAAAGCAGCTCACAGAAGTGTTCTTGTCTTTAACACTCAGATGCCCAGCTCCCAATGGGGTCTAAACCCAAATAAATCCGTTTTACCCTGCATAAGCTTTATACAGGGTAAACTCATAAATTGTTTGCCCTCTGTAACACTGATAGAGAGATATGCACAGCTGTTTGCCCCCCCCCCCCCAGGTATTAATACATACTCTGGGTTAAATAAAAGTAAAAAGTGATTTTATTAAATACCAAAAGTAGGATTTAAGTGGTTCCAAGTAGTACCAGACAGAACAAAGTGAATTACCAAGCAAAATAAAATAAAACACACAAATCTAAGCCTAATACAATAATACAACTGAGTACAGATAAAATCTCATCCTGAAAGATGTTTCAATAAGTCTCTTTCACAGACTGGACACCTTCCTAGTCTGGGCACAGTCCTTTCCCCTGGTACAGCCCTTGTTCCAGCTCAGGTGGTAGCTAGGGGATTCCTCATGATGGCTCTTCCTTTTCGCTGTTCCACCCACATATATATCTTTTGCATAAGCTGGGAATCCTTTGTCCCTCTGGGTCCCCCCCCCCCAATGGAAAAGCACCAGGTTAAAGATGGATTCCAGTTCAGGTGACATGATCACATGTTACTGTAAGACTTCATTACCCACTGGCCAGCACACACATATACAGGAAGACTTACAGGTAAAACAGAGCCATCTGCAGTCAATTGTCCCGGTTAATGGGAGTCATCAAGATTCCAAACCACCATTAATGGCCCACACTTTGCATAATTACAATAGGCTCTCAGAGTTATATTTCATATTTTTAGTTTCAGATACAAGAGTGGTACATTTATACAAATAGGATGATCACACTCAGTAGATTATAAGCTTTGTAATGATACATTACAAGAGACCTTTTGCATGAAGCATTTTCCTGTTACATTACTATATTTTCATAAAATCATATAGAGTGTAATGTCATACACAGTAGCACACAAGTGATTTCAGCTCTTAATGAGCATTTAAAATAACAAAGAGACTCCTAATGAAGCTGACTTAGCTCTTTCTTTAAACAGTGGTGAAGAACAGGTTAAACCAGTCCAGGGAGGACCCTTTGTGCAGCCTCCTAGCTAAGACACCTGTCCCCACCCCTCTTACTGTTACAGGACCCTGGCATTCAAGTCCCTGGCTTAACAAGGTTCTTTCAACTGAGGGTGACCCCTTCATTTGGGACAGGTTAAGCACAGTCCTGCTTCCCTGTATTCCTAAAATAATTACAACATTGGTAACCATATTTCACTACCCCTGCATTCATTACTAAGGTGATTTGTAACCCAACACCTGCCAAAGTTGATCACTTTGACACTGCTCTATCTGCTGAATATGTAAGCAGAGCAAGAGCAAACTGTATTTACATAAACACACCCAAAGTCTCTCCCCCTCCCAGCTAGCTGTCAGGGAAGCATTAATTCAGACCCACTAGAGAAGAAAGGAAGGAGAGAGAAAAAATTCTATCAATTGTTTTTAATTTAAACTCAAAATTGGAAATTTGGAAAATCTATTCCAACTCTAGTTTTGACCAAAAAAAGTAAGGATTGTTGAAAATTTGCCAATGAAACCTGGGTTTTCAATTAAAGGTTTTCACAAAAAGAGTCTGCTCTATGCAGAAAATTTTGATTTTTTTAAATAAAAAAATTGGAAATATTTCAGCCAAAACCAAGCATATTAAACTGAAGTCTGAAATATTTAAATTTGGATATGGTTCCTCAGTGCCTTGTGGAAGTTGTAGTTCAATTGCTTCATGGGCCATTTTCCTTTATGGGCCATGCACCTAAGCTGCACTACATCTCCCATGATACACCAGTGGGCAGTGGGAATCTACAAAAGGGGTGATAAGGGAGATGTAGTCCTGATCAGGAATTCTGGTCAATAAATGAGAATGGAAGTGTGAGGCACCTGAACTACAACTCCCACAAAATGTTGTGTGGTATTAAGTCAAATGCCTTACAGACTATTAAGTATAGTATATCAACACTATTACTTCAGCAACAGTCCCTGTGCCCCCCATGCTGAAGCTTTTCTCAGATGTATGCCCTGATGGGCTCTATTATTATTGTCCCCCTTTATGCTGATCCTCATCTCTTACATACATATCATCTACGCCATCCTGGCTCTTACCTTTATATAGAAAATTGATTAGTGGTCCAGTCTTAGAAGGTAACAATAAAATAGTGAGACAGGAGTAGTCAAGCTTGGTTGCCTTTATTAATAAAGTTGCCTTTATTATTTAAGAATAGTGCATAACAAGGAGAGACCTGCAATATCCAATCCTTATGGAACCAAAGGCTGCAGCCCAAGGCAGTCTAATCCCAGTTCTGTCTGATCCAATTAATAACCCAAACATACACTCTTTTATAGTTAGATGTGTTGACAATCTATAACTTCTCTTTTTACACTCAAGATAATTATTCATAATCTGCTTTCTCTGATACAGATATTGCAATAGTCAAATTTCCCATACTAACATGACTAGTACATCTTGCATTCAGAAAACTTGTTCTGTTAAAGAGAATATTGTACTAAACATTAAACGACTAAACTTCTCATTCTCACTAAATTAAATTTTTCTGCTTTTAATAAAGGTGATACAATTTAGCATTATTACTACAAATTATTCTTAAATGTTGCTGGGAGTTTGGATCACTTGATAATAGGTCTTCACTGAGAAATAGGCCCTTTAGCCTAATCGTCAGGAGACAGCAGGCAAAAAGCCTTCCCTACATGCTTTCCACACTTCATTGTAGTGACTCTCTTCTACAGTAAAGGCAGCTTGACCTACTTATGACCTAAGTCCAGCTACTCCCCAGATACCAAAAAGCTGTTATCTTTCACCTACACCGAACTCACTCCCATGCTAAACCACATGATCTACAGCCTGAAGAAGAACAAGGTGAAGGCCCCCTGAGGAAAACACTGGGCAAGAAAATGTGTTGACCGCAATGTTGGTTGTTTTGCTACAGAAGTGAGTATTTCAACTAACAAGAAGGCTGAAATGAGCTTCTTAAAATCTGTGTTTGACCAGAGTTCATCATCACTAGACCTGAGGTCAGAATTACAAAGGTGGTAGTTTTAAAAGCACCTAAGCTATGCAGCTATCTCCCATTGTAAACAATGAGGTGACTAACTCACTTTGGCAGTTTTGGAAATCTTCCTAAGTGCCTATCTCCCTATTTAGATCCTTTGAAAATCTTGCTGTGCATTGAAAACTTCCTGTTGAAATTTTTCCTGGAAGGAAAGAAGTTTTCAAGAAAACAGAAATTTTATTGGGGAAGAAAATCCATTTTCAACAAATTATTTGGGGGGTTTATAGAAAAAAATAAAACAAAACAAAAATGGAAACCAAAACCTGATTTTTTTAATCTTTGCGGGCTTTGGTATTTCTATTACAATCTGAATTATTTCAAAGAAAATATGTTTCCCTACGGAATTTTTCCCCCCGACCAGCTCTAATTATAACTGGCCTTGGAAGGATTAGATTTTTATTGGTAAATGTTGGCAAATATTGATTTCAATGTACACACACAAAGCAACAAAAAATATTTCTAGCAATAATAACCAAAATTTACAGCTAGGCAAATAAGAAAAATGCTGCTTGAGAACTTAACAGTGTTCAGTTTAAGGATACTGACTTTGTATATTTTGACATGTGATATTGACTATTTGTTTTAATGATTATAAAGCTGTAACTCTTTGAATCTCAACATTTGCTGCCATTAAACAACTATTGTCTGACATCCTCCTGTATGAATGCTCCCATGATTTCCTTCAACCCTGAAAAAGGTTTGAACAACTCATTTTATTTTTCACATGAATTACTCATTATTATTTCACTACTGTTTGAAATATCAGCAGCTCAAGCTGAGAGCTGGTTGGACTGCCCTGGAGCCACATCTATATCCCCCTTCATGGAGAATATTTAATGTTTTGGTATTTGCTCTTAGTCAGAATGAAGCCTGGTTTTGAAATATCAAACTCCTCCATGAAATGGAATAGTTTTCTCTGCCCACCCCTATTGAGGCTGGTGTTTCTATGAGAATCTAAAATATATGGGCTTGATCACATTCCCGTGATCCTTTAATGTATCAACAGCAGCAGGCCTGAGACCTGTCATGAAAGTATGACTCTGATTCTTAGAAATGCACATTATCTCATCAGCACTTGATGCTCAAGAGACCTAAGAGTAAAGAAATAAGTGCTCAAGGGAGATTACCCCGATCACAACTCAATATGGTGCATTACATCGAAAACTTGGCCTGGGATTTTCAAGGGAAGCTAAAAGGATTAAGTGCCAAATTCCTGTTGAATGTCAGAAGAATCTGAGTGTCTAATTACTTGTGACATCTTAAAAGAATCCCAGCCATGATCACCATGGTATTGGTTCTTTCCTCTGATGTAGCTGGTGTTGTTGGAGACAGGACTATCACGTGGACTTTCAACAAGAGTTGGGTGCCTAACTCCACTAGGCCCCTTTTAAAATCACAGCTAAGGACAGTTACAAAAACTGCTTAGGCCTTCTTTCTGCATCATTAATAAAACTGCCATCTCTTGACCATTTTAGGATCAAGATTTAAGGCAGCAACCAAAACCGTGGAAAAAGGGGCGGGGGAGAATTTGAGGCAAAGAAAGACATTGTTGGACTGTCTTACATATAAATTTCACTCCTAACTTTTCCTCCCTTATAAGTTCATTCAAAAAGAGGAACTTAGTGACAGTTACATTTTGGTGGAAGGCCACATTTTACCGATAGCTCTCCTCAAGGCATCTTTTACCTCCTGATTCCTCAGGCTGTAGACAATGGGGTTGAACATGGGAGTCACCACCGTGTAGAGGAGGGAGAACACCTTGTTGAAATCCAGAGACTGGTTTCCTGATGGTGCCACATACATGATGATCAGAGCCCCATAGAACATTGAAACCACAATGAGGTGAGAGGAACAGGTGGAAAAGGCCTTTTTCCTGCCAGTGGTGGATGGGATTCTCAGGATGGTCAGGATGACATAGACGTAGGACGTGATGGTCAGGACAAATGGGATCATTGATATAGTAGAGGCAGAGATTAGAGCTGCTATCTCTATCAGGCTAGTATCAGTACATGGAAGCTTCAACACAGCTGTTAAATCGCAGAAAAAGTGGTTGATCTCATGAGGACCGCAGAAGGGCAACAGGGATGCCATAATTACTGTGAAGGAAGGAGCCACAAAGCCTAATGCCCAAGAAGCAAAGGCCAGCAGAAAGGAAAACCTGGGGCTCATATTACTTGCATAATGCAGTGGATCACATATTGCCAAGTACCGGTCATAGGACATCCCAGTCAGGAGGAAACACTCAGTAGCACCCAGAAAGCTAAAAACAAACAACTGAAGGAAACAGCCTGAGAGAGAAATCATCTTGTCACCTGTCACAAGACTCACCAGCAGCCTGGGGATGATATTGGAGACAGCCAGTTTCCAGGAAGGATAAATTGCTGAGGAAGAAATACATGGGGGTGTGTAGGTGGTGATCAGTCCACACGGTCAGAATGAGGAGAAGGTTCCCAGCAATGGTTGCTAGGTAGATGACAAAGAACACCACAAAGAGGGTTATCTGCAGCATGGGAAAAGTCTCAAATCCTACAAGCAGGAACTCTGTAATGAGTGTATGGTTTCCTTTCTCTAGTCCAGCCATTGGTTATCTAAAGGGGAATAAAATAGGGTTGATAAAAATTCATCGAATTTAAGGCAAGAAGAGACCAATGTGATCATCTAGTCTGACCTCCTGCATAACACAGGTTAGAGAATTTCCCCAAATGATTCTTGCATCACGCCCATATCTTATGGTTGAATGAGAGCACATTTCTTGGAGAGAGATTCAAATTTTGATTTGGAGACTTCAAACTTGATACTTTTTTATTTTTTGGTGAATTTACAAGCTCAGTTGATAAAGATAACTGTGTTGATATCATAAAGTTTTGTGAGGTATTTGACTTAGCACTGCATGACATTCTGATTAATTAATTAATTAATTCTAATTAATGCACAATGTCATATATCTAGAAGAAAGTAGGTCGCATATACAGGATTGAGGACTGTACCATCAAAAGCAGTTACTCTGAAAAGGGCTTGGGTGTTATGTAGATAACCAACTGAATTTGAGATCCCAGTGTGACGATGTGGCTAAGAGAGTTAATCTCTGGATGTATAAAAAGTGAATATTGAGTAGAAATAGAGAGGTGGCATTACATACATATATAGCATTACTGTGTCCGTGACTGCAATACTATTTCCAGTTCTGCTGTCCACACTTCAAAAAGGATCTTGAAAAATTGGGAAGTGTTAAAAAAAGAGCTGCAAGAATGATTATTTCAGAGTAGCAGCCGTGTTAGTCTGTATCCGCAAAAAGAAGAACAGGAGGACTTGTGGCACCTTAGAGACTAACAAATTTATTAGAGCATTAGCTTTCGGGGACCACAGCCCCCTTCTTCGGATCCACGAAAG